GAATGAGGAGGGAAGAGAAAGTCTAGGACACACATAAATGGAGGAAGCTGAGTCCACTAACGTTTCTATCGCTGCTACGCGATCCATTAACAATTTTGAGCAAGTGTGTTCCTACTTTCCTTTTTCACACTCAATCTCATCAGAGAGAGGAAGTGTTACAACTTCACAACATCGACCTTCACTTGGCCCATGGAATTCCCATGGTAGGCAATGGGGAAACGGTGCTGACTGGCACGCAGTCAGCTACAGCTTCTGGTGGCCAGAACGCAGCCTCCTCACGGTCTGGCGTGGGCTTTTGTTCTCTCACTTATGCATCTCAGGAACATGTATGTTGAAAGTCTACATTAAAGGCTTCCAGGACACAACAGGGAAAGAAAAACCATGCATCACATCCACATCTATTTTCGACCCTTCACAAAGCCTAATCCTCTTACAGCGATTTCATATCTGTATAAAAAAGGCTTTCCTAAGCAGGTTTTTAAAAAGAAAAAGCAGGAGAAATCAGTAACTGTGGCTGAGATTTGACATAAAGTAGAAAGAAAACAAAATGTTTACTAGATTTAAAAAATAACAATTTTACAAGGACAATCTTCAATCTGTAATTCTATTACTTGTCTCCAGAAGCAGAGTATTAATACAAAATATAAACTGATTTTTCATTACACAATTCCACAAGATTTCAGTGAACATTTAACACTTATTACCTTTGTAAATTCCATGTAATAATCGGTGGCTACCAAATGTTTCCTATTTGTGATTTTATACTTTTGCACAATCCTTCATATAAACTATGTACCGGGAGGAAGTGTGATAAGAAACATCTAAAGAACAACTATTCCTCTTTCCTGAAAGAGCAAAATCAAATTACTCCCTATCTCACACCCCACCACTGCCATGCAGACAGTTACCAATTCCTAAACTCAGAAATCAACACTATAATAAACGCTGTCATGAAATTAAACCAGTGATGGTCAATGCTGAGGTGGTCCTTACTCCTGACAGGTTTCCAGAGGAAAACAGCTTAGACAGCTGGGCTGTGCTTCTCTGCCACCACATGCCTCAGGCGTAACTCTGATGCCAAATCCCTGGGGTCCTACCCTCAACACTGTCTCAAGCCCAATCTCCAGCCCACTGCAGAGTCCAATCTCCTGCCTCCACAAAATACAAACCCACCACCCCAAACTCACCACCTTCTCTGCCACAGGAAAGAACCCTGTGCAATGTCCACATTTTCATATTTATTTCCACAGTGACAACATGGACTAGATTTAGTAACCATCATGGGGGAGAGAAATCTCTCATTGACCTATGAGTTAAATCCCAAAACAATGAATTTCAACTATTCCAAGTCTTCTATTGACTTAACATTGATTGAATCAAATGCTAAACTCCCCCCTAGGCCTTAGAAATCGTGATAGACAGTTTGTCTTGTAAAGTATTTATGATGGGGTTTGACTTCTAAGACCTAGACAAGCTTGACAGTTACAACCCATGAAGCACATGACTCTGAACACAGATTTCTTGATCTAACATTCACAGGACATTCTTTTAGTACTACTTTAATTTTGATCTCCCCCTAAAAGGCAGAAACCACATCCCACACTCCTATGCAACTTGTTATCTCGGCATTTTAGAATAAAGGAAGAAGAGGTCGAGACATAAAGAAAACCCAGCTTCTCTAGGAACAATGGAGCACACAGTTCCTGGAGAGAGGGAGGAGACAGCCTCTGTACCCATCTGCTCAAGGCTGTTGGCCACAGTTCCCTTAAAAATGCCTGGAAATGCTGCCAGCAACAAGAGACTCAAAGTAGGGGACCAAGTTTTATAAAAGAAGCTAAACATGTTTAGTAAACATAAAAAGTGTAACCAGTCAGTGATGACCTATGTATAACACTTGTGCTTGAAGCTTTGGTGGGCTTCCTTGGCCAGTTTCTCAGACACCAAAACCCATTCCTGATTAATTATCAACATACAATCAAACCAAAATACAGAAACACATACTTTTGTTCAGAAGAGGGAAACAAAGGCACAGAAACCTGCCAAAACAGATTTTTTTTTTCCCATAAGAATAGTATGGTTGATTAAAATAGTTTATCACTAGTAAAACTTGTATCACTAGAGCGGACAATACAAATTAGTTTTTAATAAAATGACATTCACTGAATTCCTGGTATGTGCATTCAATGTGAATCATCATCAAAAATATATTACAGTTAAAGGTTTGTAAGGAGTTCTGTTTGGGGTTTCTACACTATATTTAGCATTTCAGATGAGAAGTACCACAAGAACGAATTAGATATCTACTGTTCCTTTGTATGTAATGTACGGCAATTAAAGAGTCTATCTCTTACTGCGGGCTCAAAGACATCCACGGTGAGAAATGTCTAAGTGATATACTCAGTGATTTCTATACCCTTCATCAAAGGCAGCCCTGTGCATCAAATTCCACACCTAGGAAGTTCAATAAACTGTATTACACTTTAATAAATACTTCTGTGTATTTGTTCGCCTTTTGCTTTTAAGCTCAGCTTAAATTTTGTCAAGGAAACCATTTCACAAGAGGGTACATGACAACCTACTATCAGCAATATTCCTTGTTTATTAGAATCTGAAGATGTCCATATTACATCAAATATAAATATATATTATATTTACATTTACTTCTTAGCTTTTCAATTTAGGTGAGTATATTTATAGATAATGCCACTAATGTCACCACTATTATAATCCTCAGTGCAACTGGTATTTTCCTTCCATTAGATGCATATAAGATTAGACAGCACCTTAAAAGAGGTGTACTATTCTCTCTCTCTCTTTTTTTTTTTTTAATGAAAAGAAACAATGGGTATCCATAAATGGAAATCTAGGAATTTTCTAGGAGATTCTGTTTTGTTTTTCAGTATTTCAAAATACCTGAAAAATGTGGTCCCTTTTTGCAGTACTAGTCTCTATTTGGGGACAAGAAATTAATGAAATATGCAACTCAGAAAGGAAAAGAGCCCAAAGAAAAGAGAACCTGCTTGTTAGCTCATTATTCTGTTTAGTAAAGATCTGTTTTAAAAGGTCTCAACACTGTACAATATTATACAAAAACAATCCTCAGCCTTCAGAGCAGCTGGTACATTTTCTAAGAGATCCATGTGCCCCCCTAACAGTGTGCTGCCTTGGTGGGCCTTGGTCTTGGTTACTTTCGGTCATCGATAGTCTTAATGAATTCAACTGCTGCTGTGAACTGCATCCACCAATAAGACTCCTCTCCAGACAGACAGCTGGCATAAAAGCTACTGATGTACTGAACAGTGGACAGCAAACAGGGTGGATTTGCCTAGAGAAGTGAAAAATAAGAGAGTCAATTACTCAGCTGTAGAGCTCTGCAAATATCATTTACGGTAACATCTTCAAATGTTTTTCTGTGGAGAGAGATACCAGTCTTTTTTCCATGTTTCCACTGCAGGGGGCACATGTTGGATCCCTGGTTAGGGAACTAAGATCCCACATCCCACATGCTGCACAGCACAGCCAAAAAAAAAGAAAAAGAGAGAGAGATACCAGTCTTTTTTAAAATAATCCCCCAAATCCTTTCTGGAACTAATTTGTAAACCCTAGCTACTATGAGTAGCAACAGTACTGGAAAGGCTACTCAGGTTCTAATCCTAGCTGAACTATCTAGAGCTTTCTATCCTAACAAAGCACTTGACCTCCCTGGTCCTTAAAGAGGCTGAACTAATCCCAGTGGATTTACTCAACATCCCAGGATTTCAGAATGTTAGATAAGGAGAGAAATGCTGTAGGCAAATTGAGTTATATCTGGTTAGTTAAGTCCAGCTAGAATCAGCTGAGAAAAAAAAAATTAAAAAAGAGAGTATGTCCTCTGCTGCAAGAGGTGACACAGAACATTTCCTGCTTTTTCACCTTCATGTGGAGAGAAAGGACACAGGTGTATTACGTTAGGAGGACAGGCTAAGCCCTGCTCCTTCAAAGGAGCTTAAACTGGCTCTGCTTAGAGACTAAACACATCACCTGTGGAAGAGAGAGGAGCAATGGGCAACAGGAAAAGTTATGAAGGCTGATCACAGATCCTACAGGTTCTGACTCTGAGATAAGAGTTCAGGTTGCAGAAATACTGCAAACATTAAGAATTAGTAAGCTATATGTCAAATATACTTTAGACATCAACAGAGGGCTGAGCTGACTGGAACACATGGGTGATGCAGTTATTTGGTGGTTGTGTGCACCCAAACCATATGGTTCCCCACCCCCCGACCAAAATGTTCAAAATAAACCGTTTAAATGATGCAACTTTAAAGTCAAAAAAGGAAAAGAAATGTCAGCACTTTTAAAAATAATATGGTAGGGCTTCCCTGGTGGTGCAGTGGTTGAGAGTCCGCCTGCCGATGCAGGGGACATGGGTTCGTGCCCCGGACCGGGAAGATCCCACATGCCGTGGAGCGGCTAGGCCCGTTAGCCATGGCCACTGAGCCTGCGCGTCCGGAGCCTGTGCTCCGCAACGGGAGAGGCCACAACAGCGAGAGGCCCGCATACCGCA